TCACAGATATATTTTGTCATCAGGCATAACCTCAGTCAGAGCCTCTTGGTGCATTTCCACAGACTTCATTTCTGTTGTGATGCCGGCAGGGGCAAATGTTACCACAATACCTGGCTTCAAGACACCAGTTTCTACTCGTCCAACAGGTACAGTACCAATACCTCCAATCTTGTATACATCCTGCAGAGGAAGAAGAAGGGGTTTGTTTGTGGGTTTTGTGGGAGGCAAAATACAGTCCAGAGCCTCCAGAAGAGTAATTCTAGTGGTAGCTCCATCTTCTTTTCTTTCAACCTTTCAGCCTTTGAACCAGGTAATATTGCTGCTAGGCTCCAGCATGTTGTCTCCATGCCATCATGAAAATGGCACAAATGCTACGGAACGAGGATCATATTCCAATTTTCTTGATGTAGGTACTGACCTCCTTGGTAATCTCCTGGAATCTCTTCTGGGTATATGGAGGTTCAGTGGAATCCATCTTGTTGACACCAATTATAAGTTGCTTTACCCCCAGGGTATAAGCAAGGAGGGCATGCTCCCGAGTTTGTCCATTCTTTGAGATACCAGCTTCAAACTCATCTACACCTCCAGCCACAATAAGTACAGCACAGTCTGCCTGAGAAGGACCAGTGATCATGTTCTTGATGAAGTCCTGGTGTCCAGGAGCATCAATAATCTTGATGTAATATTTACTGGTCTATAAATTTCCACTGAGAAATATCAATAGTTATTCCACGTTCCTGCTCTGCCTTCAGTTTCTCCAAGACCTAAGCATATTTGTAGGACCCTTTGCTCATCTCGGCAGCTTCTTTCTCAAATTTTTTCATGGTCCTTTTTATCGATGCCCCCACATTTGTAGATCAGATGGTCTGTGGTTGTGGATTTTCCAGAGTCGACATGGCCAATCACCACAATATTGATGTGGATCTTCTCTTTCCCCACTACAGCTATAAATCGGTGGCCTCAGCAAGGACAGGTCAGTAAACAAGGCGAACGACAGAAGATGCAGAGTAAAAATTAGCAGTTTTATCACACAGCACAATGACACAGATGTCGCAAGTTTTGAGGGAGTGTTCAATTGGCATGCTGACTGCAGGAATGTACACCAGAGATGCTGCCCATGATTTGAATGTTTATTTCTCTACCATAAGCCATCTCCAAAGACGTTTCATAGAATTTGGCAGTATATCCAACCGGCCTCACAACCGCAGATACCCCCCGGACCACCTTAATACAGTAAAACTGCACATTTTAGAGTAGCCTTTTATTGTGGCCAGCCTAAGGCACACCTGTGCAATAATCATGCTGTCTAATGAGCATCTTGATATGCCACACCTGTGAGGTGGATGGATTATCTCGGTAAAGGGAAAGTGCTCACTAACACAGATTTAGACAGATTTGTGAACAATATTTGAGAGAAATAGGCCTTTTGTGTACATAAAAAGTCTTAGATCTTTGAGTTCAGCTTATGAAAAACGGTGGCAAAAACAAAAATGTTGCGTTTATAATTTTTGTTCAGTGTACATTTCCTGTTGAATCTATTTAAATCCAATAATTTATGTATGTAATAAATCAGTAAGAATATGTATTGCTAAATATTGAATAATCATTAATTTCTTACCAATATGTTTTCTAAGAAAACAGCAAATGCCAACTAAGTGAAACAGGTAAAGCTGTGATCAAATGAAGTATTTTAACTACAATTACTAATTAATGACAACCTACCAAAGATATATAGTATAAAATCATTACAGATCATCCCATTAACTTTATCTAAACCTCCTTCACTTGGGTAACATTTAATCATATGACTACTAGCATTGATGACAAAAGTCTATTCTAGGAGCACTGTATGGTGCTTTGGGATTAACAAGGACAAACTGTACTATTATTAAATCCTATAAAATGGAACAACAGAAGAGAGTTTATTAGCTATGCTCTTGACTTTTACATATATACAATAAATGTATGTTTTTCATCTCTCCAGATACTTTTTAGGACACTTTGTGCCAATAGCAATACATTGTTTTGAGGAAAGGTTAAGCAGACATTTCCAGAATAACGAAATTCAACAATGCATTATAATTTTTCATACAGTGAATATAGTTTGACAGTTTAGAAATGTTTTTGATCTATATGAAAAAGAAACATTGAAAATAATTTTAATAAAAATAAAAACTAGCCTTTGAGCAAAACAAAATATGATAGATAACCTTCTACTTTTGAGATTTGAATAAGATTGTCAAAAGCATGGTAAATTAAACAAGGAATAATAATAATTATTATTGTAAATGATAGCTGTCATTATTGTACTTGTTCAATTAATATTTAATTTTTGGAATAACAGAAATTAAAAGTAAAATAATGGAATATAATTTACTTTTTGTTCCAGCACTAGGACAACCATTCTGCCTGTATATGCATGTCTGTATATGCGTGTCTGCATGTGTATATGTGTATCTGTATGTATATCATTTAGTCTATGTGCCAGCATGTTTGACTATATGTGTATGTATCTGTATGTGTCTGTTTGTGTATCTATATGTGTGTATTCATGTGTGTCTGTGTATCTGCATGTGAAACTGTATGTGTATCTATCTGTTTGTCTGTATATGCATCTGTGTATCTGCATGTGTCTGTATGTGTATCTGTGTGTCTGTATGTGTACCGGTATCTTTGTGTATCTGTTTGTCAGTATGCATATATGTGTGTTTGTGTGTTTATTTGTTTGTCTGGATGTGTTTCTTTGTATCTGTATTTGTTTCTCTACATGTATCTGAGTGTCTGTACCTCTGCACGTGTGTCAGTGTATCTGTGTGTGTCACTGTTTGTATCCATATGGGTGTAATTCTGTGCATCTGCATGTGTCCCAGTGTGTGTATTTGTGTGTCTGTGTATTTGTGTGTGTGTTTGTGTGCATGCATCTCAGCATTCAAACACCAACACTACACACAAATAAACTTGTTTTCCAATATCAGAACTAGATACAGACACACCTAAATGTAAAGACAAACACTACACACAAGTAAACCACTGCTTTCAAATGGCAACAGTACATAAAAATACACAACACTACACACAAGTACACCCCTAGATTCACACACATACTCTATTCAGAAACATACTTACATTCAACAAACACTACAAGGATCAGCAAATGGTAAATTTCCCAGCTGGAAAACATTGTGGGAGTATTACCTAGCCTTTGGCAATATTTGATATTGCATTGTGGAGGTGGCAAAAAAAATGCAGCACCAGGACCCTCTCTTTGTAGTTCTGCCACTGGTAGTGTTGTAGTTGATTTACTGCAAACCAATTAGTTTGAATGACTATCTGTTCCTGTCCAAATTAAAGATAATAAAGTTGCGTGCACGCAGAAGTAAATTCACACTGAGACACAGAGTTCAGGTTAATGAAAGAACTTCGGAGAAGTTTAATGGCTTCTGAATAAAAAGCAGGCTCGCAGGCCCTTTTAAAGGCATTATTACATCATTGAAGAAAATCAAGATATAGACAAATAGACATTGTTAATTGGCTTAGGTGCTAAGTAGTTAGTAAAATGCCCTCCCTACGGGGTGTACCATCTTAAGTCACTATCCTCGTCATGATTGTCTCCTCCAGGTTTTTAGCGCCATTTTGTTAACATGAGGAGCTCACTCGACGGGAGGGGCCTTTTGGCAGCTATCCATTTAGAGTGTAGCCTGGCACTGTTAGTTTCTCAAGGTTAGGTTTCAAGGCTTTTAGTAAATACACATTTTATCAAAGCTATTTCTTGCTGACATGCAAATTCTATGTTCTATAGACAAAGCTTTCTTGTAAAACTATGGGGCCTCTTAGAGGTATAGCAAGAGGATTTAAAGGGGCCTTACAGACTTATAGAAGCCTAATAATTCTACAACAGTAGCATCTACGCAATTATATTGTATCTAAGCAATTATTCTGAACTAGTAAGTTTATGTTTGCTCTTGAACAAAACCTGTAAAATCATTTATCCCAAAGCAAATTATAGTAATAAAAGCATGTGAAATGTTTAATGTCCAGGAAGTCTGTTGAATATGAGACATGTACAGAGTGTAATTGTACAGCACCAGAGAAAATAATAATGTGTATCTAATGAAAATAGATGAGAGTGTGCAGAATTCCTATTGGATACAGCAAGGTATGGACTAGAAAATTGGGCAGACTAGATGGGCCGAATGGTTCTTATCTGCCGTCACATTCTATGTTTCTATGTTTCTATGTTTCTATGACTAAACAAGCAAACAAATACACTGAAACATATTAATGGCCATCAAATTCTTTTTTCTTAAAGGCTCATATTCATAGAACAAAATACAAGTTTTAGATTCTATGACATAGAGGAGCTGCAAAGATCAATCCCTCAATATAATTCTTTCAAGTACATAAATATAGGGTAATCCAGCAATTTCATGTAGAATTTTTGGTCTGGTGATATTAAACAACTCTAAGTAAATGTACAAAATTAAAATTCTATTTTAGGGACAATATGTTTTATAAATTACAGGAATTCATTATTCTGCAATATTTTAGACAGTGTCTAGAATATTTGACTGGATTTTAAAATCCTCTAGACCAGGCCTGCACAACTTGTGCCCCCCTCCCAGATGTTTTGAACTACATGGCCCTTGATTATTTGAATGAATCAAATAGCCAATGCCCATGTTTCTTTCAATGAAACAGATAGCCAGGGAATCATGGCTGATACCCAGGGAATCATGGGAGTTGTAGTTTGAAAACATTTGGGGGAGGGCGCAGGTTGTGCAGGCCTTCCCTAGACTGAAGCTTGTTTTGTTGGTGTAAAAATTTCTAATGGTTTCTCTCATTGTTGCAAAAGTTCCATTAATACAATTGTAAAGTGCACAAAAGCTCAACAAAAATGGTCATAACTCTGTTAATAGTTACATAGAACACACAACACATATCTAAAGCAAGAATTTGTACAAAACAGAGCATTACAGGCTGCCACTACACCATCCTAAGATCCCCTGTTATGTATTGAGTATGTTAAGTTTCAACCTTCCCTCTTCTTTGCTTGTTTCTAGACTCAAGCCATGCCGTTCTGTTGATACAGTATATACAATAGTTTCTGCAGAGATGCAGAGGGACAGAATGGAGCCCTGGAAGGAAAATATTATTCTGTTTAGGATTAATAAGCTGTTGTTGACAGTTCTTTGCACTGGAAAAGGAAAGTAAATGTGTAATGTGTATACACTTTGGTAGGAAAAATAATACAGCAAAAACATGACACCAGATAAAAGGTCTTATTACGTGGCATGTAGTAACTTGATTTTAGAAAAATAAAGCATAAAAGAAAGACCAAAATATTTAACCAGTGATGTACTTAGATGATTATGGTCATCATCTCTGTGTATCCAGGAGAAGAGAGTCATCTTTGTAGTCAAAACACATCCCTTATACTCATTTATCATCAAGTACAAAGACTGGTTATTACAAAAATGTGCACTTTCCTTCTCGCTAGAATTGTCAGTTACCAACTGAAAAAAAAGTAATTTAAGAAAATTTAAAAAAACATGTACGTGGCAAAAATTATTTTGTTGATCAGAGAAGCAACAGGCATGCTAACAAATTTCATGTGTAGCATTAACTTAGAGTTAC